GTGGTTCCATAACCAAGCCTGGTGGCGTCTGCGGGTGGCGGCGGGCAACCCTTCCTCGCCCGCGGGTGGTGCGGTTGTCGGTCTCTCTCTCTCTCTCTCTCTCTCTCTCTCTCTCTCTCTCTCTCGCTCGCTCGCTCGCTCGCTCGCTCGCTCGCTTGCCTCTTGGTGAGCTCCCTGTTGACCCCCGAGGAGGCGACGGCGGCGCTGGCTGGATGGCGCCATTACAATAATGTGCGCATTATTTGCAGGCGCCATATCTCCCCTCTCGCTCGCACTCGCTCGCTCCTCCACGCCGTCTTCGACTTGTGTGTTGTGTTGCGGTTGACGCCGCGCCGAGCGAAGAACACCATAAGAGTTTTTGATTGAGTGTCGAGTGTCCGCGGTCCATTGGCCATCGAGCGAGGGGTGGACCACTTGAATATTCCATGTACATACTGCTAAATACGGCAAAATATTTCGAAAGTATTTCCAGATCTTTCACCCAAAACTTTCAGATATTCCACAAATATTCCAGATATTCCATGTGTACCAAAAATCTCAGTGTTCGACCCCTCGCTATCGATCCTCTTCCGCCTCGGCCGTCCTGCTGGGCGGTGCAAAAACGTCTCGCATACACAGTAATTAAAACTGCACATTTTCCTTTTACTCAAGGCGTGTTGTACGAGGAGTCGACGAAGAGAGTATGCGTTATCATTTCCATGCCCGTGCATGCGCGTTCTTACACGCGCACTCGCATGCGTTCTTCTCGACGGGAGTGAACGAGCGAGAACATACGCGCACGGAAAGAGAGAAGCGGAATATAAAAGCAAGGAGCAACTACCGGAAGGCTGCTGCTGTTTTCGAATGGAAAGCTTTTGAACAAATGCCGCGCGCGCTGCTCCGTTTTGGCAATAAAATGTTGATCCTCTGGTGGGATATTGCGAGCGGCGCTGCGGTAGTGAGCGTCGGGAGGAGCAGGCGCGCGCGCGCCCGTGACACGAGTGGCGTGCGTTTGGCGCCGCGAATAGCGAATGGACTTTCCCCGCAAAATTAAAACAAAACAAAAACATCTGGAACAAAAACCCTAACAACAACAAAAATGGCTCAAAAGTTGCCCTAACGCTACCTCATGCGGCACACGGAGGCACGTACCGCGACCATCATTGCGTCTCTTTCTCAAGTGCTCGTCGGTGCTCGTAAAGAAAAGTGACGCGTTTTTAACCGAGTAGCCGCGGGGCGTTACGAGCTTCTTATATTGCGGCTACCGCCGGCGAGTGCGCCGCCACCGCTGTGCACTTATGGGGGAAAATAATTATCATCGGGTCGAATGGGGTTTGTGGACATGAATGACTGTGCTCGCTGATTGGGTGCTCGTTGCACAACCGGTGGTGGTGGTGCGGTGCATGTGTGCGCGGCGGTAGTGGTGCCATAAGATTGTGCGAGCGAGGAATCCCTTTTCTCCCTCTCTCTCTCGCACTCACCGCCCTTTCAGCCCCGCTGCCCGCTGCCGTGCTGCTGTCCTATGTGCCGCCGCGGCCGCACAGTGTAGTGTGGACTTTCACTCGCCGGCTTAAAGACCGCGCAGCGCGCATCGCCTCCTGCTGCTGCGGGTCGCGCTGCTGCTGCTACTACTGCTGCTTGCACAATGCGGCACTTATGAGCGTTTTGTTTTGCTAATGACGATTCGCATCTAAGCGCCGGCATGCATGCAAGCTCTTCTCGCATGCACGTGTATGCGAGAATGTAGAGGGTGCGGGACCATGGGAGGCTATATGAGAAGGCAGAGATGTTAGAAGTACTCAAAATGTAAATGCTTAATCCTGCCAAAAGAGAGATTTTGTGGCCTTGTTAGCAAAGGTGGTTCTTTCTATAGAAATAGTCACATACGTTTAACCAATTTCCGACTCACAATAACTCAACCTCGAACTCAACTCCTATTTATTTTTCTTAAACTACATGTTGTGTCAAAAACCCTGCATATCGTTGTAGATTTAGCCGTCGAAACTTTTGACCGCTGTCCGCTCGTTGTCGAGACTATTAAAACGTTTAACGTGGTTGAAAATCGTCGACTTTATGCTCGCAGAGTGGTTTTATTCCTTCCTAAATGCAGTATTTCATGTTCCCGAGCCGGCCGAGGCGTCGCGGCGCTCCGCGTGAGTCATCATACCTCCTTGCGGCAGGCGCTGGCCGGGACGTCGCCCGGCGCGCAGCGAGGGATCTGCTGCTCTGACTCGGGCGCAGCAAAGTGCGACGGAGACGAACTGCCCCATATCCTCGCTGCGTCTCTTTCTCTCTCTGCTCCGCCGACGACGACGACGGTGGCGTTCGTTGGCGACCATAGCTGCGCTCCTCTGCGGGGAAAGCCGAAGCGAAGCCGTAGCCGTTCAACAGCACAGGAAGGCCCTCCTCCTCCTCCTGTCCCGCTATAGCTGCGGAACGAAAGCTCCGCAGCACGCCCAACTTGGCTAAGGCTTTTCTTGTCGTCCGGAGCGCGGAGGAGGAAGAGCAGGATGAGGACGATGATGATGATGATGATGAGAAGGAGGAGGCTTTGACAGGCGTGACGCCGCGGAGCGCGAGCGATGACAATGTGGGAGGTCTGGTGCGGGGCGGGCCCTGCGCGCTCCCGGTGATGCGTGAGGCGTTATTACACAACGTGGGTCGTCGCGTCTGCCTTTTTTCCCCTCCCGCGCGCTCTTCCTATTTTCCCATTCACTTAATTTCTTTTGCGCTAGAGCAGCAGCAGGCGCGTTGGCGTTCGTTTTTCTCTGACCGCGCCCTCTTTCGGTGCAGCGGTGTCGAAAACAATCGGAATCATATGATTATATTAAGGAAGCCAGCGTCTACAATTATATTTTCTTTATACTGTAGGAATTTATAACCATTAAAAGTATTTTGTTATATACAACAAGTATGGACAACTTTCTGTGCCGAGCTTGCTCTTTACTTATTGTATTTTCCTGTGTTGCAGGTGGAATATGGAGCGCGGGGGTGGCGTCGCCGCTGACGCCCATCGCCCTGGGCGCGGCCACGCTCCTGGCGGCGCTGGTGCTGCTCATGGGCTGCGTCTGCTGCCGGCAGCAGAAGGGCTTTCAGGTGAGGATCAGGATACCACAAATTAAATGCTCGTAATGGCCAAATGATTAAATATCGCATTTGTTCTCGTTTGTTGTCTTCTGTGCTTTGGTGGTGGTGCTAGTGGAAATTGTGTTGTCTAAACTATCTTTTTTTAGGTGGGTGTCTTCTTTATTTTTGTGTTTCTGTTTCTGTCGTTTGGAATGGACGACTGAGTGATTTGAATTGTATCCCACCTCCCCACAGTGAAACCGCCTGAGCTGATTTTCTAGAACCATTTTTCCAGGTATGTTACCTGAAGAAGGCCATTTTCAGGTCCGATTTTGACGAAATTCCGGTAGCTTGGTATAGCGTTCTAGAAAATCGGGTTAACGGTTTCACCTTGCCCTGTCCTCTTACGCCGTTTTCCTTTGGCCCTCCATGACTAAACTTCTACAAGACAGGACCGCTCGGACGTTTTTGTGGAAACAATTACAGGCTCGTGGCGCATAGCCATTTTTAGACGGCCCGCGGGGATTTTTTCGCGCTTCTCGAAGAAGCCACATGACTCAGTCTGCGTTGGCACCTGTCCCCCTCCCCTAACCCCAAAGGTTGGGGGGGGGGGGTCTCCTTTCTCTCGCTCCAGGGCGCTCGTTCGTAGAGGCGCCGCGGCTGGCAAGGTCACTACCTCATGCCTCATGATCGCTCACGCGGGGACGGCGGCGTCGGGGCGTCGGGTCGGTCGTGCCAGAGACGGACGCGGGGCTACGGGTGTATTGTGTGTATAGTAGTAGTGTACCCTTGCAGCAGTACACTGCGGGATAGCTTTGCCCTTTTAGCGTTCACAAAAAGACGGACATTGTGTTCTGACTACTATGCTAGTCTACGGCTTGTACTGATAATTGCACTGAAAATGTTTTAATATCATAACTTGACTAGAGCGACGAAAGCAATAAGCGTTGCTCTCCGAAGGAAAAACAAAATTGGCGCGCTCTCAGATGTAATTACTTTTGTTGCTAAGTAAGTATGTCTGCTCTTCCCTTATTTAAAAACATTTTTATAACCATTTATCTAATGTATTTCTATAATACACACACCACAACCTTTTGCGCTCCGCTCGTGCTCCGCATCGTTGTTACCGCGCCCGGGCGCGGGGCGCGGGGCCTCGCCTCTCGCGTCGTGTCGCTGCTCCTACTCCGTAACACAAAAGTTAAAGGTGACGAGGGTTAATGAGGGGCCCCTTCCCACCCCGTGTCTTGCAGCCCCCCCCCCCT